GTTTTTTATTTTTCATCGATTCCTTTGCTCCTACCGACCGCCAATCTGCATTGTAAAATATATTGCGTCTGAATTATAAATTTACATATATTCCTATCAATACAACTGTATAGAATAATTTAGATCTAAGCCACAATTGAAAAATCTTCCATCCAACTTCGCATTTATCCATTTTATATTTGGAACAATTTTATTATTATGACTGGCCTAATTTTTATATTAGTTGATATTTTTTTGGATTAGGGTTCTCGGGACTTTATTCTTCTACAAATCTCCAGGATAGGTCTAACTCATGTCCAGGAACAGCTCAATTCTGGAAACCTGAAGCTACCGAATGAAAATAAGCTCAGGATCAAACGGCTGTCTGAATATAAGAGTTATACTCTATGGCGAGATCTTCATCTGCTTTCACGTGTTCCTCAAGTGGTAGCTAGAAGTCCACATAATGAGCGAGGGCAAAAGCCATCTAAAAAATTGAGGAATTACGTGCACCCGAATCTCCGGCCCATAGCAGATGAATTATCATGGCGAATTCGGCTGTTTCATGGTCTGGTTATCGATGTCGTTCGCGAGATGCCGGGAGAATCGGTGAGTATTAGGTATTAAAATATAAAGTAACTGTTGGGTTTCTGATACAACATCGTCTTGGTTATAATAACAATATAAATACGATTACGCTTCATGTAATATTCACTTATTTATCTCAACTGCATTAGCTATTTTATGATTAGGTTTAATATGGTTTATAAATGTGCTAAGATTACTTTATGCAGACTCCTCTGTCCGGTTTGTTTTGCTAAAATTTTTTGAAGTCGGTCTCGGTGAACTTATTTTAGTTTTAGAGTTGATTCGACCTTATTTTCGTGGCTTGATTTGAGTGTCAGGAGAGCTTGTTGGACATGTCTAGTCCTGTGTCCTCTGCCGTAGTATTCTTGATGTCCAGAATTGGGCCAGGGACTTGGTACACTCCCAAACGTTTCGCTGGCATCATCAGTGAGAGGCTCCATTGATAGCATTGAAAAGTGAAGGCAATCCCTTTGACCAATTTTCTGTTCAGCCGTTGTGGCATCATTCACGACCCCTATCTTTTGTCCTTTTAGTCTTCATATGACCCATAAACCTATTCACACAATTCTGTGCTCTCATTTCCTCCGATGACACTTAAGCTTTTTTCTTTACAATTGGGTTTAGTGAAGCGTAATCATCTTCACCACCGGTTACAGGTGCAGTTTGCAGAGCTTCCGACCTTCATTTAGTTTCCATTTTCTTCCATCTCGTTTATCAATTGGTCGCTGGTATACATTAAAATTACTGCCTGTCTGCCTATTACTCTTCAATTTACGTCCTCGTTTACGTCATATTCGAGAGCTTAAAATCGGCTATACTCATGACTAGGCATCTTCTTCTCCCTAGGCTTCAAACCCATCACACAGTTATTCTCGTTCTCATCCCCACCCGCATTGCATCTCATTCCTTGGGCCCTGTATCCGGCTTAATTAGGAAGCGCCGATGTGAAAATCCTCCGCTTTTATTTTCCATCCTTGAATCTCGCAAAGCACGCTCCTCTTGCCTCTCAAGTTGTTAGTCCCACGTAATCCTAGGGTACTAGTCAGGTGTCTATATTGGTTGGTATCCCACCTTTTTTGGTCGGGTATGTCATCAGTCGCTTTTCATTAAGGCACGCACCCGAAAAATGCCCACAATCAGACGCACACTGGGGACCTATCTCTAGCACACCTATACCTTTAGCCGAGCACCTCTATATAAGCATAATCCACCTGTTCTTAGCCTTTACTTTTCTATCCTACATTCCACAGGTGGACCCAAAGAGGTAAATTTTCAGGCTGATTCCAGGTTTGACTC